ATATTCTAACCATACTATAACAATTCTCAACTTAAACAACAAATATATACAAATTTTAAAGTTATACGACAAATATACAAATGACTATTGGAAACATATTGTAAACATAATTTTAACCATTTTTCAACTTATAAAACAACTTATACGATAACTATATACAATTTTTCAAGTTATATATATAACAACTATACAAATAACAAATAATATATTCTCACTAACAACTTAAATAACATATTCTAACTAACAACTTAAATAACCACTTATACGATAAGTATATACAGTTTTTCAAGTTATACATACAACAACAATGTCATTTTATCAACTTAACCCACTAACCATACATTTTGTAAAAATTATGGTAACAATTTATTTTCAAGTTATACATACAACAACTAAATCAATTTATACAACAACTAACCATACATTTTGTTAACATATTCTAACAATTTTACTAAATGTATAACTATCTAATGCATATTATACGCAATCTATACTTGTACATTCATACAACCACTAACAAAATACCATTTAAACTTCAAGTTTACTAATAAATAATATTAAAACTATAAGCAACAAAAATACCCAATCACAATAAATATAATTTCATTTTTTACACTAAATAGTACAATAAATAATAAAATAATAAAGACCTATACTAAATAAATATTAATTAAAACATAAAAAGTGCTAAAATCTAACCATATTTTCGGGATAGTTGAAAAAATCGTCCATTTTCTTCAAAAAAATGGCACAGGGAATCGTGGGGAATCGCCTAGAGAGAGGGTTTCTCTATCTTGAAGAGTGAAAAATGAAGGAAAAAAAATGTTTCTATAGGTTTTTCCACGAAAAATCGAAGATGGAAACGGAAAAATCGCAGATGGAAAGTGCCAAATTGCAGATGGGTCTTTTCCATCTGCGATGTTCGTGGTTAATTTTGTAATTCCTATTTTTTTTTTGGCTAAATTTGTAAAGTAATTATTGTATTTGGCTAATTTTGTCATTTTCTCTAAAGAAAATCGTATAGATCTATAGTGTTAGCTTTCATGAGGTATTCCTTTATGATTTAAAAAGTTGTATTGTACAATCATATAAAATTTAAATTGTTGTGTATTGAGAAAGATTGTTGGATATGAATCATTTTCCTAAAATAAAGCTAACACATATTACAAAGATTTAACCTGAAGCTAGTGTTAGTGCAATTCAATAACCTTAAATGAAGAGTAAATAATTTTATGAAAAGGTTAAAAATTGGAAAATAAGTATTATGTAAATGTTATGAATTTTAGATTATTACATGATTTAAAGACTTTATAAAGGTATGAATTTTGTGATGTTAATTTTTATTAAGGTTCGCTCTAGATAAATACTAGTTTCTTTTATCAAAGACAAAATTGCAAAAATGGTCCCTGTGGTATGCATTTTTTTGGGGGGTTTGGTCCAAACCACGAGTTTTTTTGATTTTGTGGTCCTTTTGGACTGGTTTGTTTGTGAGAATGGTCCCTATACTTAACACCCGTTAAAAAGAATCCGTTAACTCCCACATGTGCCATGCACATGAGGGTATTTCTATCTTTTTACTTATAGGGACCATTTTTGCATACGGAAAAATAAAACCTCCTTTATATATCATTTTCTATTCCCAGCTTCTTCTCCAACGAATCTTCTTCCCAAACGTTCTTCCCCAACAGTTATTTTCTTCCATTTCTCATTCCCGACATGCAATCGAACAATGGTGGTTTGTTTTGTGGAAAGCTTGCTTTGGTGAAAACGTCTTGGACACCACTGATTCCCGGAAGGAGGTTTTATGCTTGCCTTACTAAAGATTCTATTTGTGGGTTTATCGGGTGGGTTGACCTGCCTATGTGTGCTAGGAGTAAAACCATCATACTTGGTCTTCTAATAAACATAAATACGTTGGAGGAAAGATGTAATGGGCTGGTAAGAAGTATCAACATGTTACAGGAACAATGCAATGGACTTTTGAGTAGGAACAACATGTTGGATGCAAGGTGTGATGCATTGAAGGATGAAGGTTTCAAGTTGAAGATGTATTTATGTGCAAGCTGGTTTATGTTTGTGATTGTTATCTTTAGTATTTAGTCTATGTAAGGGATAGGGTTAGACAAATGTGGGGGTTTTTGTTGATCAAGTGATGCAGGGTAAAAATGGTATAATTTTGTTGTAAGTTGACTTCATCATGTTTGTAATGAATTCCAATGTTGTTACTGATATAAATGATATTCAAGTGTGAAAATGTGTATCAATTGTCAAATATAAGCACATAAATAGAACCAAACTGTAACAAAAGTACATTACCAAAATACGTGTCATAAATTGACCAAAATGCACATTTCATTAATCACCTGAGTAGAACCAAAAACCATTACCAAATTAAGCATACAAGTTTTTGTGCACCATATATAACCAAATCCTCAAACCATAACTAAAGTTTTCAAAAACAAACAGTTTTTAACAACAAGCAACTAAATTGTCATTGCACCACAACAAACAACCAAAATCACTTCTTGGATTGGTTCCCACCTTGCCCTTTACAGGTCCTAGAGTTGTGTCCCTTATTCTTGCATTTGCTACAAGTAACACTGATATGTTTCCTTGATAGCTTCTTCACTCCATCATTTGTTGTCCCTTGGGAATCTTCTCCTTGCATCACATTGACTCCATCACCTTGACTTCCTTTCTGCCTTTTGCTTAAGCTTTCACCCTCACTTTGTCTTCTTTTTTCTTAGGCCTTCCCACCTGAGTGCGATGTGGCGGAGGGATTAGCTTTGTTGGAAAATTACTTTTAGGCCACATGTGTCTCCCTTAATTGGTTCCACCTTAAATGAATAAGCTTTTTTCCATATCTCTAGCCAATACACCTTGTGTACCCACTTGTAAATGTCAAGCTCATCCTCAGGTTCTTTGCTCATTTCATTCAGAGTTGCAATTACATGCTTGCAAGGTATTCCCATTAATTCACACTTTCTGCAAGTGCGGGTTTGGTTCCTAACATCCACCACATGCTAATCTTGCAATGCTCCAGTGACTTGATACTTGTTTGCCCCATTCCACCTAGCAATATACTGTGAAGCGCCTTTTTTCCTTGAATCTAGTATGTCTGTTGCTGTAGGTGTTAGTGGACCTTTAGCCTTCTTCATTTCCTTCATGACATTGCATATCCTCTTCATTAGATACTCCCTAATGAACTCTAAACATGAAATTACAGGTTTGTCCCTTCCTTTCTCTATCTTCCCATTAAACACTTCACACATGTTTGAAATCAACACATCAAAAACAGGTCTTCCTGCACATTACAATAACATACAATTGATGCTGATAAATAACTGAAACACATAATCATTACCATATGCAAACATATACAATTACCTGAGAAATGACTCCTTGCCCAATGTACAGGAGGAATCTGCTTCAACCATTGACATGCCTCCTTATCATACTCACTATACTCCTTCATCAAATGCTCAAACTTAGGAATGGTGGTTGCTGATGCACACCTCCATAAATGGTCCATGTACTCAGTTTTCCCCCACTTCTTTCTCATATTGTCATGAATATGTCTAATACAATATCTATGCCTAGTATTGGGAAACAATTGATCAACTACAATTTGTAGTCCCTACATGACTCAACAGACAATAATAAGAATTAACTTCTTGGTAAAAAACACAATCTAAATGATAATTTGATGAACCGTAATTTACCTTTTGCCTGTCACTTATGAAAGTATAGTTTGAGTTGCTCCCAAGCTCCAAGTCATCCCCAAGGTTTTTTAAAAACCACTTCCAGCTAGCTGTGTTTTCAGACTCAACAATTGCATAGGCCAAGGGATAAATTCCATTGTCAAGGAATGGGCCTTTCATGAAGGCACCATCCAAACCTACTAAGTCTCTAAGGCATGCCTTGAAACCTTTTTTCAGTGGACCCAAGCATACATAAATCCTTCTAAACTGCCTTGTTGGGGATGCATGGTTGCCATTAGGACACACATCTATTTTGACCGTTGTGTCTGGGTTTGTAGCTTGAAGTTCAAGAGCATAGCCCCTCAACAATTCAAACTGTTTTGTGTAGTCCCCAGTTACATGCTTTCTTGCCATATCTTTTTCCCTAAACACCTTATCAATCGAAATACCCACCTGGTAGGTATTTTGAAAGTGATCTTGTATGGCTCTCAAAGGAATCTTCGAATCTGCCTCAACTTGATCTATGATTTTCTTGCAGATTAATGAAGCAGTACAAGCTCTGGGTTTTCTTGTTTGTAAGCATGTACGAGTTTCGTTTAAGGTCCTTATAAACCAATCAGATTTGGGGTTTGACCTAGATGCATGCATATACCAACCACATGTTTCTTTTTGTGTCTTTACTTCTTTGCCCTTGCTTTTTGAAGTGGTAGGTTGAGTCCCCACTTGACCTTTATTGATGACAGGTACAACTCCTCTGCACTGTGCCCTAAGCCTTTGATTGTCATTTTTTTAAAGAATAGATTCCTTCTTGTTTCTAGTGCATGCACATCAATTAACTCCTTTAATTTTTTTTTTTACTTTTAAACTTTTGTCCCACTGAGAATAACTGTATATGTACCGACCCAAGGCTGCACCTTTTTCTTTTCCCAAATTTTTTATAAGTGCTCTTCTTTCTCTGTCTTGGTCTGATCCTTCATCCAATGATTCGAACTACTCATTGTTGATCACTTCCATATCTTCAGGTTCATTACTATCATTAATACATGCTCCTTTAACATTACTTTCAACATTTAGACAGAAGTCTACTATGTCCACATTAACATCTTCTATATTGTTCTCCTCATCCATTATGTCATCCACTTTATCTTCATTTTCTGATTATTTCCCATCCTGATCATCACCTTCATCCTTTTCATACTCTTCATCACTCTCTTCAAATTCATCATCCCCTTCATACTCTTCAACATCCTCATCACTTCCAAGTAAAATTTCCATAAGGTTATCAAAATTCTCATTATACTATGCATCATCATTAACAGGTGGGGTGTTGTAGCATCCATCAATATGGTCATTATCCTGAACCCCAATCATCTCATCCCCTACATTAGCAATATTTGAAGTAAATGGCTTGTAGCATCCTTCAACAACAGTTGTAGCCCCCTGAACCTCCTTAACACCCTCATTAGTGTGTTCCTTCTCTTTTAAATCATCAATATCCTCTAAATTAAGCCTCTTGATACAAGAACCTTCCCTTCTTTTTGAATTCCTAACTCTACCCCTTCTATACTCTGGTGAGAATGCATCACTTTTACTCCCAAAAAGAATCAAAGACATGTACTCACCAATTGGCTCATCATTGACATGGTTCATATTTCTCAATGGAGATTCTACATGAACTTCAGTCTCATATTCAACCCCTTGATCATCATTTTCTTGTAATTCCTCAATGATAACTTTACCCTTTGCATTTGGAGACATGAAGTAAGTGAGTAGATTGGTCTTTCCATGTTCTGTGTACACCTCAATCAACTTGTTATTTAGAATAAATTTAAAAAGATTGATAACATCCTGATCATTCCCTAAAGCTCTAAGACCAACTTGAAAGTTACCATTGGGTATCCTGAAATGGTAGTATATCACTGGGGATTCATCAGTCAATTCAATCATCCGTGGGTCTGGTTAACCTAGGTCAAGCATTATGGCATCAAGTTCATGTACAGAAAACTCATCTATGTCCACATAATCAACATAACGCACTTCACCTCCAGTATACTTTATATCAAGTAACTTAGTCAACTTCCCACCATGATGAAGTTTAATACTAAACCATGTGAGTGCACCCGCTACAAGTCAAAATTATACATGATAACAAAGTCAAAATTTGGCGGATTTCAGTATAAATCAAGGGTAAAATGAAAAATAGGAATGATTAAGAAAACAGCGCAACGTACACCATTTCGACTTTAACGTATTACCTTGTCTCCTTTTGCTTCGATTAGGTTCTTTGGATAACGAAGGATGTTTTATTTTATTTTATTATTTTTTTTTGCAGGTTTAATGGAGCAGGAGGAAGAAGGAGGGATGTGAGGAGTTGGCGGGTGCTTGGGATTGTAAATGAGGGATAAATGGTAGAAGGAAGCGTTGACAATCGTACGCAAAAATGGTTCCTATAAGTAAAAAGACAGAAATACCCTCATGTGCAAGGCACATGTCGGAGTTAACGGATTCTTTTTAACGAGTGTTAAGTACATGGATCATTCTCATAAACAAACGAGTCCAAAAGGACCATAAAACCAAAAACTTGTGGTTTGGACCAAAACCCCAAAAAAATGCATACCATAGGAACCATTTTTGCAATTTTGTCTTTATCAAATTTGAAACTTTATTGAGGTGATTCTTTCATCCAAAAATCGATTCATCTATATAAAACTAGTTGATTAAGGTGATTCTTGTACCAATCATAAGGATTTAATTGCTTACCAGTCACGTTTAGAAATTTTAGAAATTTCATTGAATTATGACAACCGTTGGACCAATAAATTGCTAATTGTGAACGGATTGATTGCCACTTGTGTCCGATCGAAAGCTAAAAATGGGCAAGTTCTTTATACGTACGTTGGAAGCTCTTAAAAACAATTTATTTCCTTTATTGTGTATGTGCTTTAAAAGTTTTATGAAGTGAATGGGGTATCTTGCTTTTAAAGTAATGCTAGTATATGTTGACCTTTGCATGGATGGTTCCTTCGCACTATGCACTATGCACTATGTGCATGATGAGTGCTCCCTTTTTATAAAGCCAAATCTCTCGTTTTGAACCTATATATTTGGACCTGCTAGCCTTTAAGTACCATTTGCATGCAGGTAAAGGTTCCTTTTTTATATCGACATAAGGAGTAAACGCTCAATAAACTATACATATAATCATTTTTGGATAACAAACTAATTGTCTTAAAAATCACATTCATAGACATTGTCGGTAATAAGGATTTAAATATCCTTAAATATCATAGATAAATCAGAAAAAAGATAACCATATATATATATATATATATATATATATATATATATATATATATATATATATATATATATATATATATATATATATATATATATATATATATATATATATATATATATATATATATATATAGGAATGAGTTCTATGAAAAACAAATAATTAGGACAACATCTACCGGAACCAATAATCAAATGATATGTATCCATTTCTTTCTTCACAAGTAATGTATTGTGGAAGTTATTGTGGAAGTGATGTGTTGTCATGTTTTCATTGGTTCAAATATGTGTTGCCCTAATCATTCATTTTCCATATAACTCTTCCCTATATATATATATATATATATATATATATATATATATATATATATATATATATATATATATATATATATATATATAATTGGACCCCTAAAAAAATTTAACCATATACAACTGGTCACTTTGACCTTCCTTTAATACCCCCTCCCCTTCTCATGTCCGGATTTTGGAGTTATAGAAAACCAAAAGTATCAAAGAGTATAAATGTTTGTTGATTTTTCAGATATATATATATTTTTATGTTTTATCACTTTGCATGATATAATTTTTTAAAATAGTCTGTCTCACAGTGAAAATCTTAGTCCTTAAACCCATGAAAGTAAAATCCTCTGTTATATCCACACATGGATGTTTCTTTCTTAACTATAAAAAAAACTTAAGCGCCGATTAGTTTAAGTGTGAACATTCCTTCCATCGGATCAATCAAAAAGTTAACAGATGCCTATTTCTTGATAGAAATCCCGATACGTTTAAACATTACAAAAAGAATGTCCTTAATCAGATCTTGTATATATGTTGATTTGTTTTTCATACTAATCTAAAGGTTCATGGTCTCTAAGATATTACTAATTATGAGATATAAAGCAATTTAAAAAATATATTATACGTTACTTGGTTAAGTTCTATTACACGGATTATACTCGAAGTTACTAAAATATCCATTGCTACCAATGACCAAAAGTATAGGTTGGTTACTTGCCTTTGTTACGAAGCAAGTTTATGAGATCTGCTAACATGCAAATGTTTTAAAAGCTACACAAGTTTCCCCACTTTCTCGGCTTTTTATCTCGTATTCATTAAGGAAGTATAGGTATCCTTTAGCAACTTTTTACTATTATGCACTATTGTAATTTCCAACTTGTTTTCTCTATGACAAGTCAAATCAAATGTTAGATGGATGCATCATTTTCTCATCAATATGGAACAACATGCAGGGTGAACTCGAAATTAAAAGTCATTACTAAAATCATATAAAAGGTGGGTCCGTGTTTTAAAATATCACTTTTTTGGTAATTTAAAATATAACTATGTAGACGTCTACGTCCTTTGATTATCGACTTGTATTACAAAATCTCTATCTGGTGGGAGATTACAATCCCGTCTTTAAATTTGTTTGGTTCAGTGCGGTCGAAGGTTCCTTCTAAGCTAATGTTTGAGGCTGTGTTTTTTTCGATGTGGTGGATTATATAGTTGTTTAGAAATTCTATGTTGTTTCACTCTAGTTCTTAAAAAAAAAAAGATATTTGTGATATATTAGTTACTCAAACATTCCTGTGGATTAGTAACGGATATAAAAATACAAATCTTAGTGCTTCATAAGCCAATATTAATTACTTGATTGTTTTATTGTTATAGTTAGTTCTTTGCTAACGTTCGTTTAACAAAATTGTTGTTAAAAAAAAAAAGATAACATATAACTAGGGTGAATATAGTATAATACCAATTTATTTATTCGTTGGTATAGAAAAATGTCTATTACTACCATACAAAAATACTTGATATCAACTTGTTTGTTAAGGAACAAGTTTTATCGGTAGAAATTGATAATGATTTATTACAATTTTTTTTTTCAAATTTTCAATTGTAATTGTTAAATATCAGTAACAACATTAGACAATTTTACCGTCTAGTAAAGAAAATTTTAAAAATAATTATTTTAGTTTAATAAAAAAAATTCTATTAATTTATTCAGGTTTTTAATTTAGTTTTGTAATAACTATTGCTAAATAACAAATACGGTGCTCTTAAAGTTGGAAACACTAACCATACAGTATATATAGGGTTAGGTTTATGTGAGACGGCCTAATTTTGTGAGACCGTGAGATGCATTTTTAATTTTTAATTTTTTTAATTTTTTATAGTTAATTCAAGTTCCGAAAATAATATTTAAAAAAAGAATTTTTTGATTTTTCCATTTATTTTGCATTTTTAAATTATTTTTAGAATATGTACAGTGTAATATTCTATTTAGAATATTTCACGTATTTTTCAAAAACTATACGATTTTTTTTATTTAAAAAAAGAATTTTTACATTTTTCTATTATTTTGCATTTTAAAATTATTTTTTAGAATATATCAGTGTAATATTATATTTAGAATATTTCACGTATTTTAAAAAAAAACGTGATTTTTAAAATTTTTTTTTTAATTTTTAAATTTTTTTTAGTTAATTCAAGTTCCGAAAATAATATTTAAAAAAAGAATTTTTGGATTTTTCCATTTATTTTGCATTTTAAAATTATTTTTAGATTTGGTCTCACGGTCTCACAAAATTAGAATGGTCTCAAATGAACCTGAACCTATATATATATATATATATATATATATATATATATATATATATATATATATATATATATATATATATATATATATATATATATATATCCGGTAAGAAATTTTTTTTGGTAGGAAGGTAAGAAATTTTTTTTGTGCTTATTTTTTTTGGCGAACAAGATAAATGAATCATTAGATGAATCAATAATAACATGATTCACACAAAAAAAATCTCAAAAAAATATTTCGATGATTCATTTTTACGTTGATTTTGTTGATATTTACTAAAATTGTCATAAAAATGAATTTTTTTTTCTTGATTTACCTAAAAATGAATCATAAAAGTGTTTTTTCCGGATTTTTTTTCTTGTGAATCATCTTACTTTTGAATCATCTAATAATTCATTTCATTTTTTTCTTAAGAAAATATGTATATAAAAAATTTCTTACCTTCCTACCAAAAATTTTCTTCTTATTTGATCTTGACTCTCTCTCTCTCTCTCTCTCTCTCTCTCTCTATATATATATATATATATATATATATATATATATATATATATATATATTGGTTGGTACGATAATACCGTTGTATTTAAACTTTTGTATCGTTATCATATTATTGTTTCTCAATTGTTATGGTACTAACAAATCAGAACCATTTTAGAATTTAATAGTTTTTTTTTGTTGTAGTTGTATAATCGGCTAATATTAATTACACAAATTATATTATAATTGAAATATATCGTGAAGTTATCAAAATTATATCACATAATGATAGACATTCTATAATTAAATAAATATGAAATGCTCATATACCCTTAGATCATAAGGCTGGTGGGTACACTCTCAACCAGACACTACGGTGGTTGATATGACATCGCAGTGTACGGTGCACACAACACCAACCCCTACATTTTTGTTGTGGTAAGGATACGTACGAAAGAAGGTTATAACGCACCTCTTTGTGTTGTGTGTGTGTGTTTGTGTTTTGATGTGTGAGGTAAGGTGTGGTATGACACCAACCAGTTTTGTGGGTGAGAGGTGAAATGAT